CCATGAGGCGCGAATTTGCAGATGGACTTCGGCAGGTCCTGAATGCAGAGCCTGAGCGTGCACGAAAATGCCTGATAAACGTACTCTGAAGCCATTTCAGACACGGCTGTAGCAATTTGATCACTTGAGCTGAATAAAAAGGTATTAATCTTTTTTCAGGCGATATTGTGGTCCCTAGGAAGTTTGAAAAATTGGACAGTAAAGCAATCCCAAATTGACATTTAATCCAGTTTGGCTGAGCTTACTCAGGTGCCGCGATGTCACTTCTAACTCAGAGCACAACCTCTGGCGCAGGTTCGGCACAAACTCGCCTAATTTTAAGGAAATGTAGCGGGCATAGCAGCCAGGGCAACTTGACAAAGTTTGACGCAATGGACGCAGTGGTAGCATCATTGAACCTCCAAAAGATGCTCGTGGAGCTGTGACAAAACAAATCCGAGCACATGTATACAGTGCAGTCCACTTATAACGATATCGAGAAAACCTAAAAATATGATCGTTATAACCGGCGAATCGTTATATCTGGACTGCCGCCAAAAAATCGTCGCCGGACGTACCTTTTGTAGCTCCAGGCTTCATTTCGCTATTTTCACCAATTAATAAATATTGTAGATAGTAGGATGTCAAAAACAAGAAGACTTTATTTCTTACTCCGAAGAACGCATCACGGGTTCGCTGAGGAAAAGAGACTGACCGACGGCGGGGTGGGAGCAGTGGGAGGAAGAAAGCACAGCCAGAGGTACACAGCCGGAATGCCAACGAGGCCCCGCCCCGATGCCGCCGCGCCGCTTTGCTTTTCGCTTTTTTTTATTTTCTATCTCTTTCCCGCTTTCGTTCGGCAAGCTACGAGTAGCTTGCCGGCTTGCCGTTGTAGAAGGCGGAGAGCCGCGGAGCGCGGCGCTTTGCTTTTCGCTTTTTTTTTTTAATTCTCTCAGCCTCTCCGCGGTCGACGCGCGGCGAGGCGTAAAACGTGACACAGCTGGCGCCATCTGTAGCGCGTCACGCCAACTCGCGATGCTCTCCTCGGCTTTTTGAACGGCCGGGACGCGCTGCCGGCGCTGTGCTGCAGTGGCGGCAGATACGTACTCGCCTACGCTAACTTTTCGTCTTGTCTCGGCATAGTTCGTTTCAGAGGAACTTATCAATCTAAATGTTACGATTATTCTGAATGAAACATGCCGTCCACGGCAAACTTTTCATCGTTGTATCCGATATGCGGTGGATAACATATCGTTATATATGGTTTTTTTCCCCATAGCCCCAATGCATAAAATGAGACTGTTAAGTCGACCCATCGTTATAACCGATATATCGTTATATGTGGTATCGTTATAAGTGGACTGGACTGTATTACCCATTACTTTTCGTTTTGATTAGTAATGGATCATAAATAGCAATATATCTTTTGACATTACGGCTCACAACACACATGCATGTTGGTGCTTGTTTCTATAGGATCACTGACTGATCAATCAGTTCAGTTCACTGTTACAGCCCAATGAATTTACCTTTGAAAATCACCTGCTAAAAAAGTGTAGCAAAGCCTGCCTGACGATAACTAGTCCAGAGAAGTGGCAATATGTCTGTTCATTCTAACAACCTCCCGCCAATTTTAACTCTGCTTCGTCCAATTAAAATCAACGAGCTTTTACTGTAAATTGGTCGCTTACTTTAGTGCGACGGGTTGCAATGTAACGTTCAAGAGGAACGTGACAGTGCCCTAGTCAAACTACTGCATACATCACGCCGAGCCATAGTGTTGAACAGACGAGGAAGGCACTAGGGAAGAACGTTGCCTACAAAATGCAGAGACACTTGGTTATTCACGCTCTGGCTCAATTTGAAAAGTTTCCCCCCTGGTCGAGGAATGACATCGACAAAAAAAAACACTGCGCCGGCCAAAGTAAAGTATAGCAGACGTTTGGTCTTGTTAAGAACGCATTCTTATTTAGGTCAGTGCGGTGTTTTCTTCGTCCTTTGGCTCACTTCGACTGGTGAATTGAACATAGTCACTCCCGAAGGCTTTAAAATACAACAAGCTTCTGGCAGTTCCCCAGCTCCAGGTGTCATATGCACTCAAACTGTGGCACACAGAAGAGGCCATTTCATTATTCTGACACCCATGTCCTGCGGTGGACACATACGGACCTTATTCTTACATTTCCACGACACTTCAGACCTTTCTAATCCAAGCAGGATAAGTGAAACAAGCAAGATACCAATACATAGCAATGCAAAAATAGCACCTTATTCCCATTCTCACATACTGATATAAATATACACACATTGTTACAATGTGTAAGCTGTGAGGAAATCAGTAAACTCAACAACTGGCAGAGCTGAAAAGGGACTGAGTTCTATAGTATATTTCAGAGGCCGATTGTTTTATTATGATTGGCTTACTCTTAATATCCCTGAGTCACGACAACCTTTCCAGGCAGGCAGTCCAAATTGCAGATCATTGTCAGAAAGAATGAGTTTGTTTTTGTAAATTGAAGCTGCAGCAGCGTGTGTGCCGTGTTTTGCTCGTTAAAAGGCCTCTATTCCACCCGAGATATTTTTTCAAACATTTCGAAGAAACACGCGCATCGTGTGCAGAACGCCCTCACAATCCTACATGTGGCAGCGCTACGAGCCGCCAGCACACCACGAATTCAAAGAAACAATCTCTCCTCCTCTACGGACCTTTTGAGCCTCGGCGTGATGCGGAAAACTTGATTCTGTGATGCGTCGCACATTGATGCTGTCAATGGTTGAACAAGAGTCTACAACTTCAGGTTAGTCTTAAAGCAGCTGTCTGCGCTGCTCGTAAGTATGCATGTATGCACTTGCGAACCTAGCTACTGCTGTCTATAACACACGGTCCATGCTGGCACGATTTGCATAGGCACGGTCAGCCCAGCAACAGTGTTTCGCCAAAAATCACGCAGTTGACGGAGGGATAGAGCCATGGCAACCGGAAGTAGATGGTGTTTTGAGCATGGCATCAGCGATGGCGTACAATTCGCCAGATTGGGAGGGGCGCTCAGCGAAAGGGCAAAGCGGCGTTGGAAAAAGATACCAACGGAGGCTAGCGAAGAAAAAAGTGAAAGGAGTGACCAGCCACGTTTCAATAACGAAATGCATCTAACTCAGATATTAGAACACCATTTCGAAAAATTCTCACGGCTCCGTGGTCGTGGTATGCTCGTGCACAACATCTCCGCCACACTTGAATTTTGTTGACCTCTGGGTGGTTTAGGGGCGGGTGACATAATGTTGAGCCAAAATTCTATCCTTGCCATTTCTTTCAAGTAGAGTGGTTTGCTTCAGTGAGCAGAGATGGAGAGTAATAACCCATTATATCTCCTCAAGCCCTTGACATGCCTTTTCTGGCAGTGTGACACCTTGTTTTACACTCAAGCCTCGTTAAAACGAAGTTGAAAAGGAGCCACAATTATATCGTTATATCCGTTATTTCGTTATATCAATTATAACAGTTTGTGGCAATGTATGCTCAGATGGGCACACACCTGTAAGCATGCAAAGAAGGAAACCGCTTCGCAACCCGATGTACTGTTACGGGACCATGCGTGCGACAGAAAACAAACACAGCCTCAATAATCCGAACACGCTTAATTCGAACTTCACGTTAATTCAAACTCACGCTATGGTCCCGTCAAAGATATGCGTATTCCAATGGGCAAAAACGGCCTGTAATTTGAATGCGCAAGCACTTGCTACGGTTAATTCAAACATACCGCGCTCCGAAAATGCTTTCAGCGCCATTTCTGATTGATATGTGGGGTTTAACGTCCCAAAAACCACCATATGATTATGAGAAACGCCGTAGTGGAGGGCTCCGGAAATTTCGACCACCTGGGGTTCTTTAACGTGCGCCCAAATCTGAACAAACGGGCCTACAACATTTCCGCCTCTATCGAAAATGCAGCCGCTGCAGCCGGGATTCGAAGCCGCGACATGCGGGTCAGCAGCCGAGTACCTTAGCCACTAGACCACCGCGGCGGGGCTCAGCGCCATTTCTAATGGTGCTCTTAGCACCATGCGGTGGCCCCTCTCAACGCTGCGCACGAAGAAGGAGAAAAAGAAAAGGAAAGAAAAGACTGTAACAGATTGTTTGCTCTCTCTCAAATGCCGATCTGTAACGCGCCTGTGCCACGCTTCTCACTTTTCTGTCTCTGCACATAGGGATCTTCCTATTTTCAAAGCCGCGCATGGAGAGAGCGAAAAAAAAAAGAAAGCTGTCACAAAGAGTCCTCCTTTCTCGGTGCAGAGGGTAGCAGCGAAGACGCAGTCGTTGCCGTCATTTTTAGAGAGTGTTGGCGCTGGACTTAGCCGCGCACTAGTATGCACTGCATGCCAAACTGCATGCCAAATTTATTGACTCGCTGCAAGGCAAACGTGAGCGGACGCGCATCATTGATTACTTCAATTAATGAAGGATGTCCTCCGATTTCTGAATAAATTTAAGTCTTCTGAAGCTTCCCCATCGTGTGTTCTTATAAGTGAGAGGGAAATCGCTTTGCACCGCGGCGCCGCTTCTCAGTCAAGTGACCCGCTGAGCGCTTCCTCAATCCTCTCCGCTGGCTGTGTGAGGAGGACGGCTCTCTCGGCCACGCATGGTGTGGCTGTAAGGTAGGCGCGGGAGTTTCGGGCGAGCCGTGCCGAACGAGCGTCAAACTCCGCATAAAACGATATACTTAACACACTTTTTATAGACTATTTGATAGACTAATTTAGTTTGTTATATCCATTTACCGGTCCATTTTACTTCGTTACGAGGTTTAAAATGCATGGTTTTCAATGGAGCTTTCAAAAAAAATTTATATTACTTCGTTATATCCATTATTTCATTATATGCCGTTACGTTATAACGAGGTTTGATTGTATACTGGTGCCACACAATAGTGGTACGGTCAAGTATAAAAACTGTGTGCCCCCTTTAGCACCAGGCACCCTTGTTTAATGTTTTGCTTAAGCCGTCTTTGGGACACACTTACGAGGAATGCGCTCAAGCGGGGTGCAGCCGAGGAAGCGCAGGGCGTCCCTGTAGTAGGCCTGGTGGTCACCCATCTGCTGGTGGTAGTCGCTGCACAGCTGGTAGAAGCGGCCGTGCACTTCTGTCACCCCTGGCAGAGCCTCCGCCTGGGACTCCGTCTCCTCCAGTACTTTCTGCAACATTCACACAGTACTGTACGCCACAATATCATCATCAGCAGCAGCAGCAGCAGCAGGATAACCCACCACGTGCAGCGTGAGCACATTTCATATTATGCCCGCAAGTTTCTTCTTTTCGTCCCTTTAGCCTCTTACCCTTTGCATCCACACTTGCCGTTCCTTCGAACTTATTGTAACTGCCCGTTTGTTATTGGTAACGCCCAGGTCCATTTTCAGAAGGGTGTTCATGCAAGCAGAAAACGTTGGCACAGCAACAGCAGCCTCACACTCTAGATGCTCATGATCAACGTTTCTCCTTTGCACCAACACAGTGTCCTGCCACTTGATACCTTGCTCCTTCACCATTGCACTTTATATTAAATGGTTCGACACCACCTGCACCCAGGAACCCGACAAGAAAAGCTCGAGAAAAATGTTTATCATTAACGATAGTTGAGCAGCAGAGAATTTTTAGGTGTCAGCACTTACCCCCACAGCATCCACACACTTTTCTCACTGCACTTTGTACAAGACATTGTGGCCCTTAATACCAAGGGCCACACGCTTCACCAGTGTACACCACTTGGATACCAGCCGGGCATGACTCCCCCAACAAGTGAGATCAGCCACTCTTTTGTACCCCTGCTATTTTGACTCCAATGCATAGTTCCAAGTTTCTGTGTCAATCTTCATGTTAAAAGTGACTAAATACAATGGCAGTGCAGATGAGCGATAGCGCGAAGTTATCAGTCAGGCGTTGAGAATGCCTGCCATACATCTTTATTCTCTGGCGGATTTCCTTCACATGAGTACGCTCACCCCAAATTCTTTCGCCACACTGCCTGGCATTACCTTTGTCACCTGCCTGTTCATCTTCAACCCTACTTCAACCATTTTTTGGCATCATTGGTAATGAAGACCACGCCATCTGCAAACTTCAAGTTGCTAAAATGTTCTCCATTAATCTTCACTCCTATTTCTGCCCGTCCGAGTTTCTTCAATACAGTAGACATCACTAGTTTCATACTTCAGTTCTGCACCCCTGTCTCAGTAAACGAAAGTCTTGTTAAATGAAACACGCTTACCTCGTCCCTACAGGTTAAGGAGCGTCCACTGGGCTTGTTATGTCTCTTGGTGGCGAAGCACACCAAGTTCATATCAAGAAAGGATCTCCCACAAAGAATGCAATCGTTCCATTGCCATTAATCTTATGACTTGTATCAATTAAAAATGAGCTGATGCAATATGCGTCTGGAACTGAGGTGCAGAAGCAGCGAAGCACACAAAGCACTGCCACTACAAGTTATGTATTTTTGTCACAATATCATCTGCAGCGACTGCGAAAGTGGCATCTCAAAATTTGCCTGGCGTTCCGGTGTGCGTGCAGTTGAAGGAAGCAAACGCGCCAGGCTGGTAGGCCCAAACAGATGCCCATGCGCAGTGCAAGCTCTCGAGCTTCTCTGGCAGCAGTGAGAAGGTACCACAGTGCTGTTCACCACAAACTCCTGTGGTCTCCGAAAATTTCGTCGCCACTGTACGCTTCACGGACTAGCACACCCCAATGCGGACTTGCCACTTCGGCTTGGATTGAATTGAGGCTTCACGTGTTGATGGTATGCGTGATGCCTAATAGATGGCGCTAGGCTGCTGTGTCCTATCATCGTCAGCGGTTGGATGAAGCAGACCACATTACTGCTGCAATTTTTGGTAGTACAATAACTACTCACGAAACTGTTTATGTTTCACAATTTGTAAATAAAGAATTGAATTGAATTGAAAGAACAATCACATTTTTGTTGGGAAATGTGGGGGTTATGAAAGTGCAAGGATTATGAGAGTAAATACGGTATATGCTATTAGCAATATATAAAACAGCTATCATTTGCTTGAATTTTCGTGTTAGAAAAGCTCAAGTCCGGCTTTCAATCAGAAAAGCACAGAGACAGAACAGTTCTATCACATGCTCCTCTCTTTGTATATTACCGGCACATCGCACGTATATAGATACTGCCAAGCAAAAACTGCGCAAAATGTCTGAGAGCTTTCTAGACTATTTCAGCATCATTTGTTATGCTTGAGTCCACAAACACGGACAGCCGAGTCTGCTCTTGAACAAACACAGCCACCAGCGATGTTCCATGCCACGTGTATTTATTAATATTATTTATTTGGTACCCACAGCACCAGAGGCATTACAGTGGGGCAGGGGATTACAGTCAGTCTGGCCAGTTTATTATTTTGACATTCGTAAAGCCTGGAAAACATTAACAACAATAGCTACAGTACATTGACAACATACGTTTTTCAAGGCAGTAAGCAATAAATGTAAAAAAAACACAAACACTTTAAGGTTGAGCTGTTGAATTGAGTAAGTGATTTCATACCGGAGTTTTGCCCCAGTTCTCTTCTGCATACCGTGTGAGCAAAAAGAAAAAAAGAACCTACAATAATAATAATAGACACAACAATATCAGATATTCCTATGAATGTGATGGGTTTATTTACACTGAAAATGCCAGCGCTCAACAGTCACTGCCGAATAACCATCGCTCGAGAGCATCCCGACGGTTGAGCACTGGCTTTTTCAGATGCAAATAAAACCATCACATCTGTGACAGCTTTGGAGGAGCAGTGCTGGGTAATTCACCGTCCTGGATCCCGCAGCAGAAGTTCTTTGAAGAAGCAGACGCTTACCTGGCCTACCCCCGGACAACATCAGCATGAACGACGACACAGCAATCGCGTTGACGTACTACGCTGCTCCATCCGCCAGTGCCACCGACATGGCACAAGGTGGCCGTCGACCTCGACAGCCAGACTACTGGGCACCTGAACCATGGATATTCTCAGGTAAAACTGACGAAGATGTGGATGCTTGGCTAAAACACTACGACAGAGTGAGCCGCTACTACGATTGGGGCGCGCCAGCGAAGCTCGTGAACGAAGTATTCTTCCTTGCCGGGACCGCTTTGCTTTGGTTTGAGAACCATGAACATGACCTCCCCACTTGGGATATATTTGTTGAGGAACTGAAGGCCTGCTTTGGGGACACGAGTTCCATGAAAAGGAAAGCTGAGCAAACGCTTTCACGTAGGGCTCAGTTGCCCGGCGAGACGTGCACAACCTACATTGAAGAAGTGTTGAAGCTTTACGGGATTGTCAACGCAAATATGTCTCACGAAGACAAAGTCGGTCATTTGTTAAAAGGCATAGCCGAGGACGTGTACAATTTTTTGATAACAAAAGAAAACTTGAACACTCCTTCGATTTTCAGGCAGCAGTGTCGTGCATTCGAAGCGTTGAAGACCGAAGAATTTTACCCAAGTTCGGGCGCTTGGACAATGTTCCCACTGTTGCAAGTATGGACGTCGCCGCCTGCGAAGACATTCCCTTTCTCATACATCGAGTAGTTCTAGAAGAGCTCGTACGGCTTCAAGAAGGTGATGCTCACCTCTAATGCTCGCTCGCCGCGTGCCCCTACTGGATGCAAGAGAGCCACGTCGAAAACCGACAGCGCACAGAAACAGCAGATTCCACCCCGCGGCTTCCGTTTCCCCCGGTGGATCACGGCCACCACCGGATGTCATCATCTCGGTGTGCTGCTGCAGACCTCCGACCATCGTCGACTGGGCCTCTACCAGAAGACTACTATGCGTCATCACGAAGTGTTCCTGCAGAGCACGACCTGTCTCCGCGTATCCCTGCCACCTCTGCTCCTGCTAATGTAAGCCGACAAGTCCCCGTTTGCTACACATGTGGTCTCCCAGGGCATATTTCACGCTTGTTTCCCAGCCGGCCATTTGCGCCGCCACGCTTTTCCACGTACTTGGCTTGTACGCACGAAACGCATGTGCCGCCATGTTTTTCGACATACCCGCCTCGTATGCACGAAACCTGGACCGCTCACCCGGCCGCCCACCACCCCGGCAGCAATGGCCTAACGAATTTCGCAGCGAGTCTCCCGCCTCCGAGCGAAGCCTGACGCCATTTCCGACACGTTCCCGCCGGTCGCCGTCTTCGCGTCGTCGGTCGCCTTCCCCGCATCAGCTGGGAAACTAGCTGGTGCGGCCGATGGAGGTGCAGTTGCGGGACGGTCAGTTTCGCCAATTCCTCCTTCTGCTGTGATGTTGATGAACAAAGCGCGTGTGTGTATAGACAGTGTAGACACTCTTGATCTTGTAGACACTGGTGCTGCTGTTTCAGTTATGAGTCTTCATTTCAACCATCGTTTCTTGGGTCACAAAGTAAAGTTCGCATGGGATCCTAAAGAAACTTTTTGTGGAGTTAGAGGCGAAGGGTTATGCCCTATTGGTATTTGCTCAGTTTTACTCACAATTGGAGAACAATTTTTCCGAGTTGAATTCACTGTACTGGCTCGCACAACTCATGACATCATTTTAGGGATAGACCTACTTCGTGAATGCGGCACTACGCTTGACTGAGGAACTGGAAAGATTCTTCAACAAAGTATGTTGCCTACTGCCATAGTTGACGATTTTCCAACTCTTCCCATCGATGCGCTTTCGTTGTCTGATGATGTGACGATCCCTGGTCGGACAGCAATGCTAGTTCCTGTATGCTCTCCTCACGTCCGCTCAGGGCCCTGCACTGGACTTGTTGAGCCCGATCATACAAACGTCATCAAGAAGAATGTGCTGGTCCCACGGTCTGTCCTTACAGCCATCGATGGACATGCTTGTTTGTGGGCGCTCAACGCAGCATCAGAACCTGTTGTCCTACCAGCCGGATTTAAACTGGGAACGTTTGAGGAGCAGGTCACAGTTGACGTCAAAATGGTCTCAGTGTCCGGCCATCAATCAGACTGCGTCCAAATACTCAGCCGAGATGAGACGCATGATCAATAAGTCGTTGCCTTTTTCTGAGCAGGATGTCCTTGAGGAGGTGCTTACACGCTACGCGGGAGTCTTTAATTTCGCTCAAGACAAGCGTTGTTCCATGTGGACCGAATCCCGTATGCATCACCGCATCAACACGGGAGATGCTACACCGATACGCCAGAAACACTATCGCGTATCCTCGTTAGAGAGGAAAGTGATCGTCGATCAGGTCAACGACATGCTGCAGAAAGGCGCTATTCAAGAGTCAAGCAGTCCCTAGGCAGCTCCTGTTATATTGGTAAAAAAAAGACAACTCCTGGCGATTTTGTGTCGACTGCCGCCGTCTCAACCCCATCACAAAGAAAGACGAGTATCCACTATCCACTACCACGCATCGATGATGCTGTAGATTGCCTGCACTCGGCCGCATACTTTTTGTCCGTCAACCTAAGGTCTGAATACTGGCAGATACCAATGCATCTGTCTGACAGAGAGAAGACTGCTTTTGTCACGCCTGATGGGTTATTTGAATTTAACGTTATGCCGTTTGGCTTATGTAATGCCCCAGCTACTTTCGAGCGATTCATGGACTCCATCCTTCGCGGTCTCAAATGGGAGATATGTATGTGTTATCTCGATGGTGTAATGATTTTTGGCAAGACATTCCACGAGCACAACCATCGGCTTAGCGTTGTTCTAGATTGCGTCAAACAAGCTGGTCTCGTTTTAAATGCAAAGAAGTGTCGCTTTGGTGAGCTTCAAGCCCTTGGGCTCGGATATCTAGTCGACAGGGACGGTACACGGCCAGACCCCCAAAAGATCAATGCTGTCCGAGACTTCAAGCAACCAACGTCTGCGAAGGATCTCTGTAGCTTCGTGGGCCTGTGTTCTTACTTTCGCCAGTTCATCAAAGACTTCGCCCAGCTTGCTCATCCTCTGACAGAGTTGCTCCTCAAAAACGCCCCATTCCGTTGAACCGCTGAGTGCGAGGCTGCTTTCGAGCCGCTGAAGTACTTGCTTATTTCCGGGCCCCTCCTCCGCCATTTCGACCTGGAGGCACTAACGAAACTGCATACAGATGCTAGTGGTAGAGGTGTTGGTGCCGTGCTAGTTCAGTATCACGACAGCCGCCAGCACGTCGTGGCGTATGCAAGTCGTACTTTGACTAAGACGGGGAGAAATTATACGGTCATCGAACTGGAATGTCTTGCAGTTGTTTTCACCGTCCAAAAGTTCAGACCTTATTTGTACGGCCGGCAATTCAAGATCGTCACAGATTATCATTCGCTTTGTTGGCTTGTCGGACTACGTGACCTAGCTGGTCGGTTGGCTCGCTAGACCTTACGGCTTCAAGAATATAATTATTCTGTGGCCTACAAGAGCGATCAATGCCACACAGATGCCGACTGCTTATCTCGTCTTCCATCTGCGACTGTAGATGCTGATGATTATGATTTCGATAACTACCTGGCTGCAATCTCCTCCAACTTCCCAAATTTGGACGTCTTCCGTCATGAGCAACAGCGTGACCTTTCGCTGAAACCAATGATCGATGTGGCTCGTAGCTCCAAATGCGCCATGCCATTCGTGATTCATGACGCCCTACTATATCGCAAGAATTACTCCAGCCATGGTTCCACACTACTCCTTGTCGTGCCAGAATGCCTGCGTCTTATGGTATTCCAAGCCATGCATGATGACATCACGTACGGGCACCTTGGATTTGCCCGAACGCTTCACCGTATCCGACATTTTTACTGGCCTCAACTTTAGAAGGCCACGAAGCACTATGTCACAAGTTGTGATGTCTGCCAACGCCACAAACAACCTACCACGCCATCAACCAGCCATCTGCAACCGGTTAAGCCACTGACATCACCATTTGAAAAAGTCGGCATAAATTTACTGGGCCCTTTCCCCAAGTCTATCATTGGCCGCCGCTGAATTATTGTGTGCGTAGATTACCTGACGCGGTATCTGAAACGATGGCGGTTGCTTCAGCCGCATCATCTGATGTGCACTCGATTATACTCCGTCACGGGGCCCCTCGTGTGGTGATAAGCGATCGCGGCTGGCAGTTTACCGCTGGCGTTGTCCAAGAGTTGCTACGGCTTTGTGGGTGCCAGTATCGGCATCCCACACCATACCACCCTCAGACCAACGGCCTCACTGAGCGCACCAATCATACCATCATCAACATGCTCTCAATGTACGTCTCGGCGGATCACGAGAACTGGGATGCCGTATTACCTTTTGTTACATACGCCTTTAATACCGCGAAACACGAGGTCACAGGTTATACGCCTTTCCTTCTCCTCTATGCTCGTCATCCCCAAAGTTTCCTTGACACCATACTTCCTTTTTCGACGAACGAAAACGCCAGTGTCGCGCAGACTTTGTATCGCGCCGAAGAAGCTCATCGACTTGCTCGGCTCCGCACTCTCTCCGCCCACGCTCGCGCAAAAGACCATTACGATGCAAAACACCCGCCTGCGACTTTCGGTACGGGTGATTTCGTCTGGCTGTTGACACCTGTTCGAAAGAAGGGGCTTTGCCCGAAGCTTCTTTCTAAGTACTCAGGACCATTCTTCATTACTCGGTGCTTGAGTGACGTCACTTACGTTGTATCGAAAGTGACAGCTCAGAACCGGCGTTCGCGTAAGACGCAAATTGTGCACATTGCTCGATTGAAGCCCTACAACAACCGATCGCTTCTACTTGCTTGGTGAGCTTCGTCTTGCCCGGAGGAAAATGCGACGCGGACTGAAAGCGCGAGAAAGAAGAAGAGATAGGACGCTCCCGAGTGATGGTGATTCGGCAGTGACCGTTGAGCACTGGCATTTTCAGAGTAAATAAACCCATCACATCCGTAACCATATGTCTAAAAATACATTTCACTTGAAACTACGTAGACAATGTCACCACGTAACCTATCCCAGTCTTGGGATAGTTTTTGGAAAAAAAAAGATTTCTTAAAAAGTTCTGTCTGGCATAGAACCTCTTGTACCTTTCACTCATGGTACAGGTGTTGTGACCTATAGAGGCAGCATTAATATAGAATGAAAAATCTTCAGGCACAAATGCCGAACCATCTTGCTGTGGATCAGACTATTGACGGTCGATGCTCTGTCTGTCACTACTATCAGTGTACAGCGTGTATAACTTGTAGTTGGACTGCTTGTTTACCAGTTTCAAGACTTTTGTCTTGAACCTTTCATCACTGCTGCCTTTGTGAATGTCACAACCCTGTGATAATATTGTAAATATGAACCATTAGCAGAGAGAGAGTGAGTTACATCCTTTATTCAAACAAATAATATCCAACTTACCAATTTCACATCAAAAAGAATATGTGCTACACATTTCATATCCATCATCTTAAAATTTGTCTAAAAGCCCAGCGCCTGACATTGGACCCTTCAGTGTCGCCTGTTCGTCACTGAGAAAATGACGAGACATGTATCGAGACTTCTCCTGATTCTAGGACCCGGGAAACCATTTGACCGATTCATTTGATCCCATAAAGGTGAAACTAATAAGTATCTCCTGCAAGACACTATCCAACATAGTCTGGGACAAACGAGACTGACCTTGACACTGGCCATGTCGTTGGCAGCCAGCTTGTTCTGGCCATAGAGCACATTGCAGAGGACCACTGCTTCGGGATCTGCCTTCACCTGTGCTTATATAAGAGGGCCAAAATTAGATATTGCTCAACCACTCCTAGTCAAAAATATGCCCCACCAGGCCACACAACCATGCATCACAGCCCGACTGGCCAAGTTATTCAGGGAATCCACAACAAATCGATGTGCCAGCTTCAGAAGCAGTGCGAGAATGTTTCAAACTGAAGTAGTTCAGACTGCTCCGCCAGAAGACACACTGGTGGATCAACCACAGTGAACATGACGGAGGCAAGCGGGCAACATCTCTCAACCGTCAAGCAGAATCATGATCAGGCTGACTGTGCAGGGCATAGGTCTCTCTAAAGTTTCTCCCATCAACCTAGTCTTTTGCATGCTGCTGTCATGCAAACAGTTCCTAATCCTATCTGACACTGTCTCCACCTTGCAGGTTTGCCTTCTTTTGAAATCCAGTCAGTGACCCTTAACGACCGGAGATTATCCGGCTGAAGCACTGCAAGCCTAGCCAATGTCCACTAACACTTCATGATTGATTGATTTCTTCTGGTTTTTGAACCTCAATGCAAGGCCTGAAAGTACAGCAGTCAAAATTCAAAGCAAGCAAACACAGGCCTGGTCTGCAGCAAACAATGATCCTGATGGCTGCAACGACATTGTGTTGGTTGCCAAGTCATGCCACTTTTTAGCATTAAAATTCACGATTATGGAAGGTCATCAAGCCCAAATATAATTATATCAAGATGCATTCTCAAAGCAGCATACTGCACACTGCTGATTTTGTGCCAAAGAAGAAAACTAGCATAGCTCGCACTGCAGGCCTTGCAATGCTCAAGAGACAGTGGAGCTAATGGGCAGCCCTGCCTGTTGCCGTTTAGGCAACTTGTGCAATTTTTTTCGTTCTTTCTTCTTCACGCACACTAGTCATCAAACTAGCATTATGCATCAATCCTGTAACACAGTGACGTGACCAAAAAACCCGTACCGCTATTAATGTCGCATGATTCCGCACAAATCACATCAAACCACCCATCCTGCGAAAACAGAGCAACACTGGTCACATAGCCCACCACTAGTAATGTCACATGACCTCCAAAAATTACATCACACTAGTCACATGACAGTCACCATAATCAACCGGCACACACTCTTTGTCACGGTGAACTAAAAGGAAGGTACTAGTAGCATAAAGTGTGATATGCCCCTAAGTCTCCTCGCAAGCAAGCATTAGTCACAAATGCTACACTAATGTTAGCCAATGCTTCAAGCGCCCTCGATTCTTGTGATAGCTGGTGTACGGGAGAGCTTGAGGGAAGACATAACACCAGGGAATGCCTACACTGCTGGAACTGACTGGAGTGAAAGCAAACACGTGAGGGGAAGACCGAAGGGTAAGTGGGCAGATGGGATTAGAAAGTTTGCAGCTATACTAGCGTGGCAGCAGCATGCTGATGGTGATGCCGATAAAACAGAATAAAAGACCTCACCTTCTCCTTAGTTTTGGTGATGAAAGCAAGCCGCTGCTCCATATCTGCAAGGCAAGAAACAAAGCACGCTCTTGCAAGGTTGCACAGCCAGTTTACTTTGGCCCACCACTGCTGTGCAGGTTCCCACAGGCATTTACCATGGTGAGAGATTTTTTTTAAAAATTGAACAAAAAGAAAATCAGCTACTCCACCATACGATCACAGAGTCTTGCAACATCTGAGGTACTATCTTTCATACTCTTGGCCATCTTGCATATATATAAATATGTCTCATAACATGAGTATCTCAGTGTTGGTCCAGCCAGTTGAGAATTTGGAGCACATTAGGAGCAGGAAGAACTGTGTTTAGGAGCAGACTTGAAGAAGACAAAACAGGATTTGGGATCGCTTGGAGCAGAACATGTCTGAACTTTCAGTGCACGTTTTTAGTGTGCGTACTGGAAATGCCACTGCAATGCAAACAAGGAGACAAGGCGAACATTCAGAGTGCAGCTATTTACCAAGGTCTTAGCACAAGAGCATGACATCCTGGCTTCACTGCACTGAACAAGATGTCAGTTGAAGTGAAACATTTGTGACAAGGCTAGCTTACAGAAATGGTTTCTGGAAATTACAGGTGTCATAAAGTCACTCCAAAAAGAAAAAAGGTCCGAACCAAAAAAGGCAGCAGTAACAATTAACCCTTTGTTGAATGCTGTCCACAATAGTGGACAAATTTGTGAAATTTTTGGAGCAGCTGTGGTGACTCTGAGAGGTGCATGTGGATAGTGGTAACTAAAGTAAACAAAAGGGGTTTTCATTCGCCACATTAAATGGTGCCATGGTGCAATGCTTTTTCCTGCACTCTTGTTCAAGATGGCAAACACCTATGTTGTTGGATAAGTCAAGTTCTCGTCCACATTTTTTTTTTTTTCGTATAACATACATAAAATTGCGATATGGTGGGTTTTATTAAATGCATGCAATAGAAGAAGCATTCATAATCACAAGCTGTAAATATTGCAGCCTAGCAAAGTGAAACAAAATTTTTAGAACATATTTTAAGTATGTCCCCTCTAGAGAACACCATTCATGATGGAAACGCTGCTGTGGTGCCTCTGAGACATGCATGTAGATAATGATAACTAAAGCAGAGAAAAGTGGTTTCAATTCACCGAGGTAAATCGCCTCAGGAACCCACGCTTTTTCCTGCACTTTTGTTGAAGTAAGGAGACTGCTGCTATAACGAGCTTTTGAAGTTCACTTGTTTTTTTTATAACAGACAAAATCGTGCTCTGGTATGCTTTATTCAATGCACACCATAACAGAAGCCCTCCTAGCTACGATTGTGGCTTAGCGAAGTAGCTTAGCGAGGTCAAGATAATTTCTTAAAGTAGCCCTCCCCCCTTAGCCCCCCCTCCACTAGAGATTTCTGGTTACTTTTTTGGTGGTACTGCAGCTAATTTTTTGCATTAACTTGTTCGAGCAAAGCAGCTCAATGGCTGAAAAACAATTTTGCAAATTTCACTTATTGAACTTCCTGTGCGAATGTCCACTAGACATTCTGTATCTTACCAAATCAAGATTTTGCTTCAACAATACCTTTTTCTGCACCTTTTCCTGAATGCAAAATAACAGAAAACCAAAAGTAAGCGCTGTTTAGACGCAAAGGTTTCTGCCATGCAACAAAGGGTTAAAGAAAAGTGCGAAGCGAACTCGTGCCTAAGAACCCACTCTTTGTAATTACTTGCTTACATAGTGCCTTCAATAATTGACACAACTCCTTAAAATGACGTTGCATTGTACTCAATAACTTTCAAAGACGACCGCACGCCATGCTTTCTCCTTCAAGGACATTGGCGTGAGAGCACCTACTCACGATTTTCCAAATATCTAGAAAAGCTTTTCTAAAAAAATAAAAATGGTACAATGGTAAACTGGCACAAAGGCAGCGAGGTCAGTGATCGATCCTAGCACAATAAAGAGGGATGCTCTTCTTCAAGGCAGCCTTGAAGCAGAAAAGTCCACTAGTCAAAACATTGGCTTCTATAGCGACACCTTGTGTTGACACATTTTCCACCTTAATATGCTGTTAAGGTGCGGTTGGTGGTGGATGAGTCCCCGTGCAGCTCACACAGTTGAGGAACAGCTATGGTATTGTCAACAGGCCTCATGACAGAGGACAACCGACTTGCTCAGTAAGCTGCTACGTACAATGAGCGAGCAGGACCCCCTTAAGGAGCTGATGTCTCTTCTTGGTCGCTTGTTGCACGTGATACAACATGGTGGATTTTGGCGTTGAGGTGCTGCACTTTGCTTTCCTTACTTTATCTTGCAATGAACGAAGAAAGTGACCTTTGTTTCATTTGAGCTGAGCGTCCCAGTAGCCACCAATCTGTTTCGTGCCACGTGGGCAGCACGCTCAAAGCTCCTTCCCCCTACTGTATCATTCGATCGCGAGTGTTTTGAGTGTACGCAGCAGGAGTGATGCAACCCGCGGCTGGCTGTACTCTGCTCATCGTTTGTGCCACTGACCAGGAATCCCATCGAGACATCTTGGGCGATAGACATGCCTGGCACCTGTGCAGCTGAATGTAGCCCAATTGCCCTCGAGTGCTGCTGCAAACCAGAAGACGTGCAGGCATGAGCGATGATTTTCCATAACGTGATGATTTCCCATAACGCAACCGACAGGTTGCGTTATGGGACCAGGACTGAGGTGAATTGTCGTCGAGCCGGACAGTGCAGTGGTGTCAACCAGCAGGGGTTTTGTGGTGCACAAGCATTCTTTAGGTACATGTGTTGTCTTCTTTCATTGAGCTTCTGTAACTGATTCATTATTTTGGGTGGTTCAAGGGGGTACGGTATGAATAAAGGTGGGGGCCATGTGGGTGTGCTATCTCCCCCTGATGATGCGTGGGATTTAACGTCCCAAAACCACCATATGATTATGAGAGACGCCGTAGTAGAGGGCTCCGGAAATTTTGACCACCTGGGGTTCTTTAACGTGCGCCCAAATCTGAGCACATGAGCCTAAACCATTTCCACCTCCATTGGAAATGCAGCCGCCACAGCCGGGATTCGATCCCGCGATCTGCGGGTCAGCAGCCCGAGTACCTTAGCCACTAAACCACCGCAGCGGGGTGTGCTATCTTCCCCTGTAATGTCGTTTGCCCCTCCTGGTGCACACGTTTCTCGTGGATAGGCTGCATTTAGGTTTAACAGCCGTTCAGCAGGAGGAGGCATAGTGCTCTCGCAACAAGTTCACCATCATCATGGTTAGCCGGTAGCGCCAGCCGTGACACCTGGCGGGAAGGCAGGGTAGTGGCACATGAGAGACAAGCAAGCTTCTTTTGGCATTTGGCAGCTGCCGTAGAGGTGCCACTTCTGCGGAGCAACGTGGGATACAGTGACTGGGTGTTGTGTCCCCTGGGGCCCCTCGTAGTCTTCGCGTTACCTTGTGTTTTGTTATGTTGAGTGTATTGGAGTTCAGTCGAGCCACATATAACAGCCCCACTTAACACAAACTTTTGCCTAAAACGAATGATACCTGCGTGACTGGGGAAATATACATTATTTCAATGGCACAAAATAGCAGTTACAACGAAAGTCCCAGAGCGCCGCAGATCGGTTAGGGCAAACGGAGTCGGCGCTCCAGCGACTTCCCGGGAAACCACTTTCGAATGCCAATGAGGCATCAGCGAGGTGCTCATAGGTTTTTATTGGTAAATTCCAACACTGCTTTTGCAGCCTTCTAGTTGTCGCTCTTACCAACCATCTTTATTACCCCTTCTACTGCAAGCACGCTCCTTCGGCAGATGAGACTCGTGTTTTCACACTGCCACCGATCTTTCAAAGACCAGTCGGCTGACTAGTAACTGCTCAGTTTTTGAATGCCAGTCTTGTTACATTACCATTGGCACTGCTCGCCTAGTAACCAGACCATCTGCCAACATTGTTGGCCACCGACTGCGCTTGATTGTCTGAATTTTCTTTGGTCGGTGTCGCATCGTTCCAGTGCACGCACTTGCTCTACCCCACCAACTCTGATAATTCGATATTTATTCCGTGTTTAGGTCAGTGTTCTATTTCACTTCCCACTTCTCTCAACATGCCCTCCGAATGCGCAAAAGCATGAAAATGGCATTACATGGCCACAATGTAATCCATTACATTACAGGCCACAAAAGCATTACAGGTCACAAAATGGCATTACAGGCCACAAAATGGCATTACATGGCCACAATGTTACAAGCCAGTCTGTGCCACAATCAGGTTCTTTGACCTCTGTGTGTGCAGACCACTTCCCGAAATTTGCCTATGCATGAGTTGCACGTTTCATGGACCTTTCAAACAAGCTACCCGAGTTGCCTGCCTTCTTCCTGTGTGTTTTGGGTTATCAAGGTCGCCTTCCCGCCGTGCGCTTCCCTCTCATTAGCCTATCGTGATTCCTTCGCCCATCTTCACCGCACTGTGAAGCGAGCCCCGCTGGCGACATAGCGTCAAATTCAGAAGTGTTTTTTTTTTTTTCAAATGCAATGCATTTCTTCGCGAACTTTGGCGACTTTGACCGTATCTGTCTATCTAGTCGTCTACAACTTGGGCTCTCCTAGCTGTTTCGATAGTGGGATCTATACCAAAATTGGTATGGCATAACATGACTGTATGACGAGCATAAATGACAAGTCGTAAGATGAAAATCACGACATGAATGTAATGATTTACATGTCATGGTCTTGCTGCTCTTGCAGTGGCGTCGTTCACAAATATTGCAAAGCTGGTATGGCATGACATGACTGCCTGGCAAATATAAGTGACAGGCCCTAACTTGAAAATCATGACATGCATGTCATGCAAGTCATGACTATACGCCACGCTCATGGCGCGCTTGCGGTCGTATCGCCAGCTCGACATTTCTCAAATTTGGTATTACAATGAATGACGAAGGTATTTGACTGGTGCAAACATGACAATGATGACATGCATGTCGTACACGGCATAATTTACGTCCGCCTCATAATGTTGCGCCTACTTTTAAGTGACGTATAAACCTTCCTCATTTGTG